TCTAAATCATAGCTAATGCCCCCTTTGAACAGTGTATCTTAGTGAGACGGTATCAAATAAAATTTAGATTTTTATTTTACCATCATCTTTATGCATAAACTGCATTCTACTTAACATCCAATAACATTTAAGCATAACATGTATAATGTATACAAGCTGAAGCCCCGCCTATCTATTGATTGCAGATGTCAATCTTAATTACAATGCTTGAGCAAAGATTTATACAAACAAAGTGAGCAAGCCAACCAAACCTTTAAACTACAAGCATTAGGAAAATAGCTTTAAGCTTCTCAATGATCAAAATTAGTGTTTGTCAAACTGCTGTATATCCAATGAAATTTTTCCGATAAAGTGTATGGTTCAAGTTTTTTGAAATTTTTATATATTTGTCAAAGGGTCAAAGTAAATATTTTGTCAAAATTTTATGAAAATTAAACGAGCCAAATTAATTTTAGTCAAGGTGACTCGTACCACCTTATACCAAAATATAGATAAAAGCCATTTTTATACACATACCAATGCAAATGTCAAGGGAAATGCATAAATGGAATCTATATAGACTTAGATATACACAAGTCTAAATTGAAAATAACGTTCAAACCTATGATTGCGTTGGATAAAAACCGCAATTTTTATACGTGTGCATGCAAAACAAATTTCTTGTTAGAGGGGTCTAAGTACAGCACAAACAACATTTTCCAAAAGACCAAAAAAGTGAAAAAGTATATTTTAGCAAACCACATTTGACTAACAGGTCGAACAACAAATGTTCTTAAACCCTGCTGACTGCCATTGGCGATTGCCAAATAAACGGATCACCGATGTAATAAATGGATCTTAATTATAAATTAAATACTAAACAGAAAACAATAAACTTGCGGAAAAGATGGTATACCGCAAACAAAAGGTGCAAAGGTTTTTGTACACCATATCCGGATTTCGACAATTAATATCTCTTCAGTGATGTTAGGAATCGAAACGGTATTTGGAAAGCCATACAATTTACCTCATTTTAGGATAGACTCTTGAATTTTGAGGAGTCAAAATAGAATGAACGGATCATATAAACCCGAAGGCAAATATAATACAAGCCCAAACGAAAAAAAATATAAACAAGTCTAAATTGAAAACAACGTTCAAACCTTTGATTGCGTTGGATAAACTAACAGGTCGAACAACAAAATTAATGTTCTTAAACCCTGCTGACTGCCATTGGCGATTGCCAAGTAAACGGATCACCGATGTAATAAATGGATCTTAATTATATCTTACTAAGATATACAGACACTTGAACTGAAGGACATTTTATGAAGTATATTCGTTGTTATATGTCCGTGTTTTTTCGAGTGCGTCCTTGTTTTATCGAGTGAATTTTTTTTTAAATATGGCTTAAAATGTGATATGGCAGTGCATTTACGTTTAAAAAACAATGAAAAGGTTAAAATAAGGTGATTTTCAGATCAAAAGCACGAAACAATGCATTAAACCAGTTTGATAATGCTGTATTAACATGCACATTTCATAACAAGTCATCGTTCATTTGTATTCAGTTATCTTCGTGTTAGTGTACCGATATGGATTTCATACAGTAAATATTTCATGATCTTAACAATCCTTATGTGAGCTCAGACATGTTGGATTGAGACGTTCATACACATAGTGTGCAAAGCGGATACATTTGTGTTTTTAACAGAAAATGCATCATAAATGTTTCATTTACTATTTGTCTTGATGGTAATATGTTTTATCGTTCAAGAAATGGAAATCAAGAAAAATGTTCTAATAAATCTACTGTGAAGAGGAGTCTGATCAAGCGTATATAATTTGCTTGGTCACTCAGAAGTAAAGCACCATCATAGCTTCATTTCCATCAGAAATTAAAAGATTTAACCAGTATAAACTAACTGTGATATCAATGTATTTAACGAGAAAAAAAGTTTTTATATTGAAATTTGAAAGTACATTGACCAAGAAGTCTTTTACGGAAGTTTAAGAAAATCTACCTTAAGACGTTTCATTAATATTCTTTTTTTTTATCCAGTAAACATGGATAAGATATCCAGTTTTGTGTAATCTACTCCTCCTACAGTTTTTTAACCCATCTCCCCGAAACTAGTTACTTCACAGAAAGTTTGCAAACCTGTTGAGGGTTGACCTGCTAGTAGGGACCGTTCTCCATTGCAAAAAAAAAACATCTTTCGAACGCTGGCATTTTTCAGTCTTCGATTCGGTTTTTGTCCTAAAGATGTCAAATGTATCACTTCATGTATAATCTTAATAAAATAAAATAATATAAGATAATAAAATTTAAAAAAAGGGGGAGCAGGAGTTTCTCATAGAGTTTATATACATCTAGAAATGTAACTATGCTCCTTTTTTAATTTTCACATTTTTTCAACGGGTTCATAATAACCACTTTGGTAATCAGGATATGAAAAATCGATTAAATTATTGTAAACTGCTGCTTACAGTATAGAATTATCATGGATTTAACTGGGACATTATGTACCACTAGTATTTGCTCTCTTACCATCTTAATCAGAGGAAATTTACACTGTTCTGCTCAACACGATATCTTCGTTGTGTACAGACAGAAACATTATGTTTAAACCAAGGATCGTTCATATTGATTTTGAAATCGCAATGCACAATGCATTTAGGTCTGTACTTCCAGATACAAGAATATAATGCTGTCGTTTTCGTTTAGGCCAAAGTTGATGGCGCAAAATTCAGAAACTTGGGCTAAGTGTTGAATATAAGAACAAAGAATGCGAAATCGGATTGTGGTTGACGAAATTCTTTGGTTTGGCATTTCTTGATCCTACAACAGTTGGTGATTGTTTTGCAGAGGAAATATATGAAGATGTTCCAAATGATCAGCGTTGTGTGAAGTTTGCAGATTATCTAGTCGAAACTTACAATTCACCAGAGTCCATACCCCCCCCCCCCCCCCCTTCTAGTCGAAACTTACAATTCACCAGAGTCCATATCCCCCCCCTCTAGTCGAAACTTACAATTCACCAGAGTCCATATCCCCCTCCCCCCCCCCCCAAGTATTTGGGCGTCACTACCATCAGCAGAATCTAGGCGTACTACAAATGGCCCGGAACCATTTCATGCTCACTACAATGAGCAATTCTATTCTGCACATCCATGTATTATTGTGTATCTTGACACTATTCTAAAATTCCAGACCACCACATACATCAAACTAAGAGGGCTTGATACACCAGCAGTAGTGCGTCGAAGTGAAAAAGAGAAAATAGATTAATTGATGGAGCCATTCAGAAAATACCAGGATGGAGAAGTTAACAGACTTTCATTTCTCAAAGCGTACTATCAGTACTTTCACCTTTTAGATTAGTTATGTTTTAACATTTTTATCTGTATATATTTCTAGGATTTAGTGCTTGTGCATAATACAACGGAATTATCCTGCTCGAAATCCCACTTCCACGTCCTCGTTGGTGAGCAGGGGACTTAGACTAACGGAAGGGGTACTTATTATGGAAATAATTGAACAAATTATCAAATAGATAACTATTATTACCTGTATTTACCTGAGTTTACCTGTCAAAAAAATGCGCGCAAATGTAATCAAAAGTTGCGCGCAAATGTAATGGTAATGCGCGCAAACGTAATTAATGCACTGAGAATTACACGTGTAAATAATCTATTATATCTAACGAACAGAGGTAATCAGTTCAAATAAAATCGAAAAATCAAACACACCTACAACATGCTTGTGATTTAGCTTATAATTGGCACTAAATTTAAATTCAGATTGAAAACATATTTTAAACTGACTTTCACACAGATTTTTACTTTACAACCACTAATTTTACACAAAAATTTCAACAGATAATTTCTGCAGTCACAGTGGCGGATCCAGAACTTTTCATAAGGGGGGCCCCGCTCCAGTCATGCTTCAGTGATTCCCTATATAATCAAACAAATTTTTCCCACGAAAGGGGGGGGCCCGGCCCCCCAGGCCCCCCCTGGATCCGCCTATGGCAGATTTGCCTTATTAATGTTTTAAGACTCGATTTGAAATGATATACGTGCATTAATTTTACATACTACAACAGTTTATATGTTAATTGGCAAATAATAGGCAATACCAACAACCATGCAAACATACATGTATTTATACATATAAACAAATACACGTACTTAAGGATGTATTCCTCTGACGTTTTAGTATCGTTGAAATCTCGTTCTGGAATGATTTCCAAAACATGTGATACAAGTGGAAAATATCAATGAACGAAATGTTGAGAAAATGGATGAGGGGTACAAGAAATGATTTTACCAGATACATGTACATCCCATATCAATTTTTTTTCTTTTCAAATTTCTTAGATATGTATTTTTTCAATCATTTATAACAAAGAAGTTGAAATAATATGCTTTTTGTTCTAAAAAAAAGAGAAAAATCCCGAATTTACAAAACTGTCGGCATGGTAAATCTGACACGAAAAAGCAACAAAATTTTATGAAACTTTCTTATATCAACACTTACCTATAGTTTTTTTTAAGTTAAATTTATTCAGATTGGTCCACTTCATCTTTAGTGAAAGTATGAAAAAAAGCTTAATTGTGAAACTGTGATTTTTTTTCATGATAATGGCCCAAAAATGGGTAAAATTTGATGAAAAATGGGAAAAAATCATCAAAATTAGGTACTTTCAAATGGCCTTGGCAAAAAAAGAAGTGCACCACCATATGATTTTTTCTTCACCAATTATTTTTTTACAGTCATATAAACTCAGAAATCAGGTTAAGAAAAAATTCAATTCTATAATTTTTGGCTCCTCAGAGGTGTACATCCTTAATATGCCTGAATCACATGTTCATTCACGTGAACAAAAAATGTATTTGTTGTTGTCTTTTAGTAAATATTTTACAATTGGCCCGAATTGAACCTTAAACATGCGTTATAGAACGGGTTTTAAAGTTGAAACTTGTGTTGCACGAGTTTTAAACGCGGGAAAAGATTTCTTTTGTTCAATTCTTTATATAACATTCAATCTCATTTTGGAAAACCATTTGATATGGGAGAGACGCTTTAATTGCAAACGAACCAACGAACGTTTGAAATTTAAAGTGGTGTAAGCAAACAGAAAACAGAATGGTTAAGCTTCAAGTGGGTAAGTACAAAAGTAGACTAAATAAGCAAACGGGTCCTAATAGAACAGGGGAAAATACATCTTTCTTCGATCAACTGTAAGCATAATCTTCATTTCGGTTTATCAGAAGGAATTGACAAATATCATGGTTTTCTTTATTTACACCACAAAATTTACTCTAGAGTACAGACAAACCCGCGGAAATTTTCCATTAAGACACGACAGGGTCTAAAAAAAGATTATTAAATTTTTCCAAGCCTGCAGACGATGGTAAAATTAACACCAGCGATCCATTTTACAAAAAAACTTACAAGAAAAAATACTCGTCATGAACCTTTCTGTATAACTTGCCACAAATTATAATCGCAAGATTTTTTGTGAAAAGTGCTGATACGGTCCACCGAGTTGAACATGTTTACTTCCTATTGCATATATTGTGCAGGTATATGTAATATATATATATATATATATACATATAGCATGCCTTTTGCGAATTAATTATATATAAGAAGATGTGGTATGAGTGCCAATGAGACAACTCTCCATTCAAGTCATAATTTGTAAAAGTAAACCATTATAGGTCAAAGTACGGCCTTCAACACGGAGACTTGACGTATTTTAAACACGAAAAGCTGCGCATATAAATGAATTTGTTGCCGAGAGATTTTTGAGTGACGTTTACAGATCGGAGAGCTTTTATTGTATCGAATAGTGTTCCATTCCCGAACATTCTTGAAAAGAAGGGGTGTAGATAGAAAGACTTGGCATTTCTAAATGAATATTCCGAAGGTATGTGCGACCTATTCGCATGCATCTAGATTTTGGTATTTCTAGAAATGTGAAAGTATTTGATAACGAAGGTATATTAGGTAGAAACCCAATATGGTTCGGACCCCTAAAGAAAATGAAGCCCCCCCCCCCTATATATATTGTTAGTTCGTTGTCTGCATTTTATTAAAATCTAGAGGGAAATTTCAAGATCATTGACATATCGTTTTGTTTTATTTCATCTTTTTTACCACGATTTTCAATCCCCCCCCCCCCCCCCCCGAGAATGTTCAGGAATGGAATACTATTCAATGCAAAATAAATGCAATGACTACAGTTAAGGTCGGAAAACTAAAACTGGCATAGCAATGACATGTGCACAACACTCGAGACACAATATTTGTCAATGGAATCGGTAAAACTTAAAATATAATTTGCAGAGAGTCTACTTGGATTTAATTCAAAGACAGAATTGCGAATGTACCCCGTCTGTATATATAAGCTTTAAAGTCTTTTATAAGTATTTAGCTGCACATTTTAAACTCAAAAGGTATTATTTTTATCTATCTAATTAAAAGATTGATCTGATTCGTTATCCTCTAATATACGAACACGCGAGTTAAGATATATCTGAATTTTAATCAGATTGATATTTTATATGTTTATAAAGTTGTCAACTTCCTGTTAACCAGTTCTGGTACAAACCTGTATATCTTGCACACAATGGCCATGTATTAAATTTTTGTCGCATTTTTCTAGGGAACTGCAAACAAGAGGTTCCTGAAATGTGTTATCAGGTTTCATGTGGACATGATGGGTGTGATTGTCTTCATGTGGACATGCTATACGGTGTGATTATCTTCACATTCATTACTATTCAACTTCATGCATGTTTATTTTGAATTTCTATAATCAGGGATTTTTTTTAAATGCCCGAAAATCCTTGATTTTGTAAATCCCTGAAATTGTAAGGAACTTTATATAATCATTGAAAATGTTACTAGTACTAGGGCTTGTGCAAAAAAGAAATCCTTAATTAAAAGTTTAAACTTCATATCGAAAATGTATTTTTCTTAATACATGTATAGATAGACCATTTTTTTTCTAATATATATGTATATAATAGGCTGGTTACTGGTTTACTGAATAAATGGCATAGACTGCAATTTATGACACGTGACCTGCTTTTACTCAATTGCTCTGGTTTTCGACATACGAAATTTACCTTTCGTTTGATTTTTATTCAAAGAGTATAGAAAATTGTTTACTCCAATGTGATAGCATGGATGAATATCACAGTATCGGAAGATATAACTAATGCAAGTGATGCATGAAAACAGGGCGTATGACATTAATTTGCGCCAATTTGAAAATATCATTTTTTTTCATTTGCGCAAATTATTAAATCAATTTTTCATTTGCCCCAATTTAATTTGAACAGGTGAGATCTGATGCATTTTAGATAATTACCGTTACATAGGTTAACCGAACGTAGCAGGCATAGGTGTTCAATGAGTACATGTCTATGTTATAAGTATCATATTGATTTAAACACTTCTGTTTTGTATTTTATGAATGTCTTAAAGTAAATCCATTAAACAACTTGAGTAAAAATCAGATCTCTCGACGTCATGGCAACACCGTAAGAAAACACGAAAGGAAAAAAAAGATTTTTTTAGTTAAGAGTATCGGATTTAGTGTAGAGAAGAAATCGCAAGGTCGCAGTTCACCAGAAGTGTTGCATAACAATACTCAGCGAGGAAAGACTTGTAAATGTGCAAATGTGCTTTTGACGTTAAATTGTTACTATTTTATTTAAAAAGTGCTTATTTTGTTTAAGTGTGATGTATACAGTTTAAGAAACTTTTGCAATAAACGTATCCTGCTCGAAATCCCACTTCGGCCTCCCGTGGTGAGCAGGGGGTAGATGGCTGAAGGAAGGGATATTTTTGTTATTATATCAATAAATTCTATACAACTTGTGTCTCATGACTTGTATTTACCTGTAAATTGGCGCAAATGAAGAAAAAAATTTGGCGAAAATGAAAAAAAAATTGGCGCAAATGCAAAACGCCGATGAAAAAATGGTCAAGGTGACCTACTTTTACCTGGTTGATTACCTATCAATTCAAATGAAAATCAAATACGAAGTATTTTTTTTAATACTTTCTGCAGTCTATTCTTTTTTTGTGAATAGACATCACTTTTATATGTAGCATATTAATAAGACAACACTTATTTGATTTTAAGATTTCCTCTTTTACTGATCATGAAAAATCTGCGATGATGATATTTGACTCCAAGAGATTCCATATTATATATTCCAGAGTTTTGAGTCAGAATAATGTGCCCGGTTACGGTGACACGTCTACATGTGGACTTTTACATGTGGACTAGCACATTAATATTCTGATTCAGCGTGTTTAGGCCATACGCGTATTGTCATGACTAGATGCGTATACTCATTTGGTTATAAACGAGCAGGACCAAATGAGTATTAAGACCATATAGGTATTTTTCGAATAAATTTTTAGTTCCTTCGCAGGAACGTGGTTTTCTCTCAACTAAAATCAGTACGAGTTCTGAATTTTTTTAATATCCTTGACATTGTCTGAATCTTTGTTTTGGCATTTTCTAAATTAACCTTGTCTGTATAAAGCGAAAACACAAACGTAAGCCGTTTTGGACCTTGAGCTTTTTCCCGGTGTTTAGATTAGTTGTTTTTTTTTTTAGTTTTTATTTCAACCTGTTTTCACTTGATCGTTTTGTTCTTGGTCCTATTTATACGATCTTACAATAACAGTAAGAAATACGTTCTGCCACTCTAACTTATTTTCTACATAAGAATAGAGGGACAGCATGTATCATCTACTGTTATTTTAAGATCGTATGAGCACATTTAGATAACCAAAAGAAATTGAAATATTTAAGAAATTTGAATTACTAAAATCGAAATACAGCATCAATAAAAATAAGAATTTAATAAAAAGGTTCAATGACCCAAGTAAGTGCCATGAGTCGAACAATATGGTTGGACTTCTTGTACAAGGTTCATTTAGATATTTCTTGAAGTTATATTTCAAAGTCGAAATCGGTAATAACCATGTAAAGATGCCTTTACTATAATTTTAACTTGTAATTGGAATTCGCCACTTCTTCATTAAGCATGTTGTAAAATAAATTAATATATGAATAAATAAGTCAAAGTTTCATTTTTTAAAACTTAACTTGAGACACCTTTAAGGGTCATTTGTTCATCGTATTAATTACCAGGACCATACGCGTATGGTCGGACCTGATCCCTTTTGAGATTCTGATGCGTGCAAATTAGAAAATTGCTCCGGACTCGGAATCCCTAAAGGGATAAGGATGGACCATCACCTATGGTCTGGAACATCTACAACGGGGTTTATATTCACATCTTATTAATACAGTGGGAAATCTAGTGAACGAAGACAATAGAAAATTCACTCTTATGAAAAAGTCGAGAAAATCAATAATAAAACAATGCAGGTGACGATACTGATCAAAAGTTATTTCTAAACAACAATTGTACATTTTAAAGAAATTATTTGTTAAACTGTTATTAGAAATATACATGCAAATACACGATGTTTTATGTTCAGTATTTATCGAGGTAATTTGAAGCTTGTGAACCTGAAATCTAAAATGTTAATCTTTGCTGAATATTCATTAAAAAAAAATTGGAAAAAATCATGTACATACAGAATCTAAAGATCTTTCGAGTCACCAATTTTCAGGGTGTTGCACAAAGTCCTTAGCATGTTACAATTTTCCAAAATATACTTATTTTTAACATTTAAGTTTTCGAGTACACCGATCTGCGTCACGTAAACATTCAATATAGAAATATTATCTTTTCGTGAATGTAACAATTTGAAAGTTTGTCTGTACAGGTTAAAAAATTATAAAGATAAATATTGTTATAAAGTAGGTATATTTTTACTATTATTCATACAATTTCAAGAAAAGGTCGTCTCGATTTTTGTACATGTATCTGCGGTCTTCTCGATATATTCACGTTCAATGTTTACATCGGGATAAGGTCGTTTGAATTTGCCTAGTAACTTAATTCCAAAAATGTTAATATTTGGTGCATATCAATCGATACCTTTGGAATTTCCCCCCTGAACTTCTCTGATCTAGCTGCACATATATACAGATAATTGGCATGTTCCAGAAAAGTATACAGCCAGTAGAAAAATAAATCGAAGTTGGCACTCCAGGAATCGTATAGCAACATTTTAAACCAATTTTACATCAAGCTCCTATAGCCTGCTGTACTCGTCGTTTGCTATATAAGGAGGGAAATGATAACATTAAATGGAAGTTTTGTTTTTATTTCAACTTATTTCTATTTTTACTATTTACCAGAAAGTTTTCCCGTGAATTTATAATTGATAGCGTCCTTTCTAAAACTGGACAAACATTACAAAGATCTAGTTTTAGGTGTTTATAGGGGAGGTATAATATTTTGTCACTAGATTTCCCACTGAATATATTCTCGTTATGATATGCCTTTTATTGCTTGCCACTGGAAGACATGGCTTAAACCAATCAATTTCTTACTACTTGCATGTGTTTTTCTCATCCTACGAAGGTAATCAGTTCAATGTTCTCCCTTTATATTTTATTTCAAAAATAGATTCATTTTTTTATATATAGTTTTCAGTAGTTAGACTGAAGCACTAAACATTTACTTACTATCGAACAAAGTAATATGAGTTTGTTTGTCGTTTTAATGAGTCTTTATAGCAAAATATATTCCACAATTACCTCAGATTTTTCCCGTTTCCATATACATTTTAATTTTTCTTCAGTTTAGTGATTTTACAAAACTCATGTTTTTTTTTACAAATTCACTGCAACATTTATACATCTCACTCGGCCAGACGGACTACCTGTTGGAAAGTCCTACTCTTTAACAGAAATGGGACGAAATGTATAAACTTCTGAAGTCGGTCAACATCCTCCCTATTTGTGTGCCCCCCACGCTCGACAAAGGAGTCACAATCTGCTCCTGCAAGGCAAGGGGTATACTGTTTGAGTATGTAAATCGTACTACGAGTGTCTTGTAAAAGAATGAGAAATAAATGCACTCGGGTAATCCCACATACAAAAACATCATTTGACAAGGATAAGATTTCGGCGAATCATAAGTCCTTCATGGCTTCAATGAACATTACATTGAACAGCAAATCTGAGCACTTACCTTGTTTGTACTTGATACCTAAGCTTCACAAAATTCCATACAAACAACGGTACATTGCCGGCTCATCTGCATGTTCTACAAAGAAACTGTGCATTAGATTGGTAACAATTTTATCTGCAGAAAAGACTATGAAACTGTTTACTCGCGTAGTGGTATTAACCATATGTGGATTCTTAAAAACTTCTTTTCGATCTTTCTCTGAAATCAATTCTATCAAAACCTTTGATTTTTCAACCCTTTATACCACCATTCCCAATGTGAAATTAAAAATCGTCCCAGAAATAATCCAATGCTTTTCAATATAAAAATGGTAGCATACGCTATAAATGTATTGTTTTGGGATACCATACGGTATATTTTAAAAGTGAACATGCTACACCGAGGAACAAATGATCAGTATGCTGGAGTTTCTTATTGACAACATATTTGTTGAATTTGGAGTAGACTTTTTCAACAAATTATATAATATATCGGATCATATCACTGATCGCTGTGGATAGTCAACTTGGAATTGATAGTAAATCGCAAATACAACTTTATTTCTATATAAATAAGATGTGGTATAAGTGCCAATGAGACAACTCTCCATCCAAGTCACAATGTATAAAAAGTTAACAATTATAGGTCAAAGTACGACCTTCAACACGGAGCCTTGGCTCACAAAGAACAGCAAGCTATAAAGCGCCCGAAAATAACTAGTGTAAAACAATTCAAACAGGAAAACCAACGGTCTAATCTATATAATAAACGAGAAACGCCTATGATCCACACCAACAAACGACAACCACTGGACAAGACTCCTGACTTAGGACAGGTGCATAAAAATGCAGCGGGTTTAAACGTTTTAACAGGCAGTATATTTATGTACATATGATACAGAAAAAACGCGAAAATAATTGACATTAATAGAAAACAAAAAATAACAGATTTTGCAAAAAAGGGGGAGAGCTAAAAAAAATTGTCCTGTCCCCAAGTACCTATGCTCCGAACTAGCTTTCAATATCTGAGTACTCTTTGATCGGCTCATTGGGTCTTTTGTTCTTTTGTTGCTGTTTTTTTTTTTTTTCTTGCTTGGAAGCCATTATCGAAACAGCTCCAACTGATATTTACATTTTGTTCTTATGTGCACTGTTACACTTCGGTTCTTCGGTGCTGACATGATTATAAGGTTTCCACTCCCTCAGGCAAAGTTGACCTGAGTTGGATTTGACTATTTTTAGATACTTTTTGGTCATATAGCTCTTCAACTGCTTCTGTTATACATCCTTGGTTTTCAAATATTCGACATTGAGCGTTCCTGAAAACACTTCGGACGCCTGTAATTTGTTAATAGATTACAAAAGTATTTTCTTTTTTACATCACTGTCCCAGATAATTGGAGAAGATTGATTGCTCACATTATGTACCCAATCTAAGTCGGGAATCTGTCATATTTGTTTTTCGTTTGCTGTTGTCATAATCGTATAAAAGTATAAAATTTGTTGAAAAACTTACTATAGGGTCAATAAATCACAAAACAGATTGTTGATTGTTTTCCTTAGGCAATTTGAGGTAAAAATGGTCTTACACACTTGCTTTATTCATATAAGATAAATGTAAATTGTCGAAGAATATAAAATTTATTTGTACAGTCAGAGTTTTAGAAACAGGACGAAAAGCGAGGCTCGTCGAGCTTTTCTCTTTTTTTCTAGCGAGTACAAAATAATTTTGTATTTCCGACAATATAGAAATAAGACGTGGTATACCGGTAATTGACAAAGAGACAACACTCTACCAGATACTAAATGACATAGAAGTATTTCTTATCCTGCAATTTTTACCCGACACTTTAAGGTTTTCTTGCTTATCTCTGATCTGCTTATCAATGAAATCGAAATTCTAAACGCGGACCATGAATAGGACCCCAAAAATGAACTGTCGCACAAAAAGAAATATTCACATTACCGTTTGCTCAATATAGAAGCGGAGTAACAGGAAACTTCATTTGTACAAGTACAAATAAAGCAAACATTTATTTGTGTACCTGTTATTTGTACAATAGTTGGCTGATTACAGAATAAAAGCTTATATTTTAAGTTTTCGAAATCTTTTATTTATTTAATATTTTATACGTAATTTGTATTTATTTATGTATTTTAATTGTCATTTCACTTTATCATTTCAGCGTTAGCATCCAAATGGTCCTTCGTGGCGACTCTTTTGATCATTCTTTTCTCGCCTATGCACGGCCTTTCTCCGGATCAAAAACAACAAGTTACTGCTGGCCTTGAACTTGGAAAAGGGATAGCGGAACTGCTTGAAAAGAAGGAATTTAGAGATTCTTTAACAAAGATCGCAAAAAATATTGGCCCCTACCTTGGCGCATTAGGTCCATTCATAGGGGTCGTTATGGCGTTCATTCCATCTGAGTCGGATGAGTTGGCTTTCATGAAAAATATGATGAATACTATTGACAATCGTTTGGATAGAATGGATAATCGATTTAACGACATCGAACGATTGATTCAGTGGAATGTTGTTCAAGTCAACTTCGGGCAACTAGAACAAAGGATAAATGCAGTGTCACGTGAGTTTAAATATATTTATGCTGTTCCGCAGGCTGCTGTGCAAAATAGGAAGATAATTTTTATTGCGAATTATGACGGTGATTATCAGAATAGTGGCACAAAATTGTATCAAGCCATTGTCCAAAAGCAAGGTACATTTCAAGAAGATCTTGGTACTTCCGTTTTGCGTTATACCCAAAATGACCGCAAAAAGACGCAGGTATTTCTTCTCGGTGTAATGCAACTTCTCTTGCAAGCTGTAAAAGTAGAATTGGGCTATCTTCTAGTTAACCAGTTTACCCACAATGCAAATTTTATGAAGTCTGATTGGGAAAAGAGAATAAAGGAAGTGAAAGGAAAGTTCGAGCAAATTGACTACCAGTGCACACATGTAAATTATCACCCCCAATCCGGAAAGGATATTGACGCATACGCTGCTACAAACAGTGGTCAGACGAATCGCCAATTTGCCACTGGACTATTTCATCTCCTTGGCGGGAAATACTACTGGAGGGACTGGATTGTTGTCGCCTATGACCCAATATCGGGCGGTGACAACCATTGGGTAGGGGTTGGTGGAGGACACATCAAATTTAGGAAAAATGGGAGAAACATAGTAGTGGCAAGTGTGGACAAGAGCCGTTCAGTCATGGATTTAGCAAGAGCTGAGCAGCAAATGAAAACAATAGCCATGACGAAACGTGAAGGAAATTTTTGGGTCGGATACAAGAATGTCCGTAGAACTGCACAAGATATTTTTAACTCATTAAATAGAAGTGGTGCCTCATTTGTTAGTGTTATAAGAAGTGGAAAGAATGCTTATTACCATTACCACACTAAGAGAGTGAAATTCATCCGCAGAAGTCCTTACTTTGACCTCATGATGTGGGGTTGAAAGATTTTAGGTGTAACACTCGAGTGGTATTGTCACTCCCTGATCAAATAAATATTTATAATTCAAATTATTTTTTGTTATACCCATTCCATTAATTTTGAGAGGACCAGGTATGTTTTTGGATGGTTCAGCCATGAGAATTTACTGAAAAGGAACATATGTATGATATAAAAAATAAGGAGATGTGGTATGATTGCCAATGAGAAAACTATCCACCAGATTTCAAACGACGGATATACCATTATTTAAAATAGTTTTTAAAATTTCTCGAAAATTTTTCTATGTAGTTTTGAAAAACAATATTTGCTTGCTGGTGAAGATGGTTCTTAATTCGTAACTAAAAAATCCTGTTGTCCGTGGATAGTTATTTATTGCAAATAATAAGATGTGGTATATTTGCCAAATGACAACTATCCACCAGAGTGCAAATGACGTGGATTTGAGCCAATCAAGGCCACCTTACGGATTCAACAATGAGCACACTCCATATCGTTTAGTTGGGTTTAAAAGGAGAAAACAAGAATTGCTCGATCGATGTCTCAATGTTTTCAATTGTGTATAAAAAAAAAGATGTGGTTTGATTGCCAATGAGACAACTACACACCAGAGTCTACATGACGATGATTTACGCAACTATGTTACCGTACGGCCGTCAATGATTTAAACAAATATCGACGCCGTACACACTACGATATAAAAGGCCACGTTATGGTAAAATGTGAAACTAGTAAAACAAAACAACCTGATTGATGAAAAAACAACAAACGATTGACAACAACAAAATCAATCACAATTGGATCACAAATACAATACATAAAGACAAAATACTCGCAGTTACTTAGAGCTAGCTCAAAGCCAATTAAAACTAGTAAATAAGTATAGATTATTACATGGCATTTTTCATATCAGACCCTTTATCGGCCCTAGATCATGATATCGGCCCTAGGTCATGATATCGGCCCAAGAGCCGGAGGCTCGATGGATGATACCATGAACGAGGGCCGATAAAGGGTCTGATATGAAAAATGACATGTAATGATATTTTTATCATATACTTCAGCAGAAGAAATACAGACACTGAAGAACTATTTAAATTTGGTCTTTCTTTGAACTTCTAGATAATAATTTACAGACAACCAAATACAAATTTATTAACTTTAATTGTTTTTGTTGATATAACACGCATTTCCTTTATCATGTGACACATCACAAGAATTATTATGTTCTCGGGATGATACCAGGGCCAATATGGAAAAGGGCATGTTATAATCTATACTTCTTCCAACATAATAAAAAAAATGTAAAAAGCAGCTGGAAAGGGCGGGACTCGTCAGATCGACATGAAACAAAACTAAAAAAAAAGTGCAAAGATTCAACATAGTTTATTTACCCGTCCGTCAGTCAATTTAGTTTCTGATGTTTATCATTGTTTTATATCTGATTGCAACATGGTCACATATGATGATAGGAATATTTCTATAGGTTTTGCGGTCAACATGGCGGTTGTTGACTTTAAGTTTCAACTCCCTCAGGCAAAGTTGACCTTAGATGGAGTTGGCTATTTTTTTATGTCATTTTTTGTCATATAGCTCAACTGTTTCGGTTCTTATACATAATTGGCTTTCAAATATTCGGCCTTGAGCGTTCCTGATGAAGATGAATCCAGAAAAACGCTTCGGACGCATGAAATTTATAACGTGGTGTTTTAATTTTTTACAGCACTGGGTCGATACATTTGCTGGTGGACTATCAGTCCCTGAGGGTATCATCAACTCAGTAGTCAGTACTTCAGTACTGACATGATTTACAGCAAACCTTTCTTAAATTGTCCGTTAATAAATTTTGAAATTATCAGAAAGTAAGATTTCAACTCCCTCGAGCAAAGTTGACCTTGGGTGGATTTGGTTATCTTTTTATGTCCTTTTTGGTCATGTAGCTCTAAAACTGTTTCGTTCTTGTGCATCCTTGGCTTTCAAATATATTTTTTTAGCAATGGACACAAATGCGAAATTTTAGGAAATGCTGCATACAAAAAAAAACATACCCAATTCTTTTGAATTTACAGTTCTTCATATGGGATTGCAGCCTTACTGGGATATATGTTCATACATATGAGAGGAAGACCCCTATTGATTTTGATGTCAATTCCTCGAGGTCTAAGTTACTAACAATAAACCTAAACACGGTTTTGGATAAAGATAATGGTATCTAAAACAGATTTGTGTAAGTTAGTTTAACTTTACAAAAGTGTTTAATTGAGTGCCTGTAACAATTATAGTTATAACACACAGTTTTTACCAATATAGATCTGGGTTATGTCGCTTAATCCGACACAAATAAACTGACGATAAATGGATTATTACACAATTGTAAATTGTCGTCGCCTTAACCCGCGCCGACATATCTTAACAAAACTTATAAGGCGGTTAGAATATGATACAACGTATATCCTAAAAGGTGCCTCTCTTTGCGAACTGCATAGTAAAAATCTCAACATTAAAACCAAACACAAGCACATGCAGTCTACAATATACGATGCAATAGATCTTGTCATGACCAAAATGGACTAAAACATATAAAAAGGGTGTTACCAATGTATGCTGAGTAGAAAAGGTCTGAATTTGAGATCAAATAGCACAATAAGAAAATCTCGATAAACCTATAATGCTTTACCCTCAACAATAAACTAAATTTAATAATATATAAAAAAGAAGATGTGGTATGATTGCCAATGAGACAACTCTCCACAAGAGACCAAATGACACAGAAATTAACAACTATAGGTCACCGTACGGCCTTCAACAATGAGCAAAGCCCATACCGCACAGTCAGCTATAAAAGGCCCCGAAATGACAATGTAAAACAATTCAAACTAGAAAACTAACGGCCTAATTTATGTACAAAAAAAATGAACGAAAAACAAATATGT